GTTTGTTTGTTTTGCAGAACTGGGGATTGAACTCAGGCTCTTGCACTTGCCAGGCAATCACTTACCTACTGAGCCATCTCTCCAGCCCCTAAATAGCAGAAGGATTTTTTTTTTTTGAGGCCTGAAGATGCCTTGAGGGCATTTCTGGTTTCCTGTGAGAAACTGGGTTCAAACCAGAGCATCTTGAGCCTGACTGCTTTGTTTAAGCAGGCACTTAAACAACTGAGCTAATAGACCGGCCCCCTTCAGAAGGATTTTTTTTTTTCTCTGAATGCCTTCAGGGCAGGTTTGGCTGGCTTGAGTTGTGGGGATCGAACCAGCCACCTGCTTTGTTGGAGCAGCCACTTAAAGAACTGAGCTAAGGGGCAGTCCCCCAGCAGAAAGAAATGCTTCAAAGGGAAAGGGGCACAGGGCAAGAGGAAAGAAAGGAAAAAGAATAAAAGAAAAATGGATTAAATTGAAACAAAAGCACTGTAAATAGGAACAGGGGTTGAAAGGAGGGGTAGTGGAGAGAAAGAAACTAAGATATACACAGGTATAAAATTCCCTATGATGGATGTGATCATTATGTACATCTAAATTGTATCATCTAACTTCATAATTTTTAAACTCCTTACCTATCTTCTCAAGTCCATTAACTTCATGAACAAACTGAGGGCAAAGACTCTTCTAAACCACATTCACGTGACAGTCAAAACCACACAGTAAGCAAAGTTAATATTTTTTATGGCTTTGTGGATGCTATAGTCCTTCCAAAATCATTGCAATGTTTATCCTACTTCATTTGCCTTTACTGCCTCACAAAAGGTGTGTCATAAATATTTTAAGAAAATCACAATAAATCCTTAGTCCATCGATGGGATTATATTCCAGTGAGGCCTAATTTACATACTGCTAAATTACTGAGACCTTTAAAATATAATGGGGAAGACTTTTTTCTACCAAACTTTAATTATAATTAAATATATGATAGCAATATATGAAATATTGCATAGGAAATTACTTTTCTATTAGCATTTACCTTCACACAATTTCTAATATATTGGGCACATCTATTCTCCTGATGATTGGATTTAAACTATTGCAAATAAAGAGAAATTAAATTTCCAATTTTATTATTAAAATTGTGAGTGTGTTCAGTGATTTAATAAACAGTATTTGATACTGAAGATGATCTGGTCATTGTATTTACATAATTAAAAAGAAAAGTTTGTAGACCATGATTCTTTTTTACTAAAGTTAAATAAAAATTTTAAAAGCACGCAAATCCTAAAAGAAATAACTCTCATAATCTTTTCTCTCAAATCATTTCATACAAAATAACTAGAAAGTAATCTAATGGTGTTGATGTTGGTTAAAGCCCTACATTTCACCATACCAGAAGTTTAAATGAAAATCAAATTTGAAGCATACTTATTAACATAAACAAAAGAATACACTTACAACATATGAATTTTAGAAATGAAATATATTTAGATACATATTCAGTGAAAATACTGAGCTTACTAATGGTTGTGCCAACATATCTCATGCCTGTTCAATGCAACTGTGAGAATTTTATTTAATTTAAAATGATCATGAGTCCACAATGCTGGCACAGGTTACTGATTTTATTTTGTCATGTTTGTACCTGCAAACAACAAACATAATCATTTTCATTCCCATTACTTTCATTTCCTCCTGGCATGTCTCCTCTTTTTTTTATTTTCTCCCTTCTTTCACTTTTGTTTTTATTGATGTAAGTTGCAAACACTTAACAATCCCTAATGTTTGCCTGTTTCCAATTTCTTTCTTCTCACATTATTATTGCTGCAGTATGTTTTAATATTTTCATTCATTTCTTTTTAAAAAATTTATATATTTGGTACAGGGCCTCACTAAGCAGCTGGAATGCACAGTGATCCTCCTGTTTTCAGCGTCCCCAGTGCTGGGAGTACAGGCATGTGCCACCACACCTGGGTCTCTGTGGCTGGTTCAGCGTGCCAGGGGGCAGGCCTGGTGCAGCATGTGGTGATGGGGATCAAACCCTGGTCCCTTTGCTTGCCTAAGCAGGCACTTAGTTCGCTGAGCTATCTCACTGGCCTCATTTATTTCAATCATTGCATGTTATTGCTATTTTTCGTATTGATATACCCACAGCATAAACTGAAGAAATTCATCTCTTACACATACACATAATGAATGTTCTCTAAAGTTTTTGTAGAATTCATTGGTTCATCTGTTGGGATCTAGTTTTGCTGGTTTTTTTTTCTTTTTTGATGGTGGTGGTAATTTTAAATTAGTTCTTTAACTTACTGATATTGGGTTGTTTAGAAGTTTTGTGTCTTGATTAAACATGGCAATTCAGATGCACCCAGGAATCTATTTGTCCTGTTTTCCATCTTAGTTAAAAACTTTTCATTTTCTTTATAAAATTCCAAAGGGTACAATTTTATTTCATCTTTCAGAGTCATTTCTTTGATTCCTTATGTTGATTTATGAGCTGACTATTTTTTGCTGTGATCTTTGTCATTTCCTCCCTCATACAAGATTTTGGCTTGAGTTATTTTCTGGAAATTTGAGTTTCAATATTAGGCTATTTGAGCTCCCTCAGTTTTCCTGATGTGGGAATTCATGGATATAATTTTCCTTCATAGGACTGCTTTCATAGAAACCCTTAAGTTTCGGTATGTTGTATTGGCATAAAATTAGAAAGAGGAAGCTAAAGTCCCCCATTACAATTATGTTAGTGCCGATTTCATTTTTCATCGTTCTAAATATTTGTTTTATATAGTTAGGTCCAATATATTTGGTGCACATATATGTATGATTCTTGTGTCTTCCTCTTTGAATTTTTCTTTAACAAGTATTTAGTTATCTTCTTTGTCTCTCTTGA